AAGAAGAATTTGATAGTTGTTGTTGTGTTTGTTTGGTTGTTTTTTATATTGTTGTGGTTACTGTAGTTTTTGTGGAGATGTGCGAATGATGTAAAGGCGTTTTACTTAATATTATTGTCTTTTTTTTTTTTTTTTTTGGGGGGGGGGGGGGTTGAGGGGGTTGATGTAGGATACTATTCCGCCTGGCAAAAAAACATAACATTACAATATAAAAATACCCAAAATTCCTCCAGTTTGCAATGAATAATAACAAAATGGAGACAGGTGTAGTATACTGTACCTCAAAATCATTGGTTATTTCAGGTGGAAGATACCATACAGTTTTAAAAAACCTATACCCTGTGTAATTCACCCAAAAACCCAGACTGTGACTGCAGTATGTATCTCATATATTCAGCTTTTCCTTATAATTATTTTAAGCCTTCTGCCTTTAAGGGTTCCAGCATAATGATTTCTAGATGAACAGTCAAATGTGTGGGAACTTTTAAAAATAACTTTAATTTGCCCCTAAACCTGTGGTGTTTGAAGCAGGCCAAGTCATGTGTGAAACAGCTGGGACTTTTAAACTATTACATTGCATGTAAAAAGTCTTTTCAATTCATGTCATTAAAATTCTAGAATAATATTGCCCCAAAAAAGAGGAAAATTTAAGAAAATTCAGGATTGGTCGGTCAATGTCCAATCAAATCTAACGAAACTGAGATAAATCAAAACTCGCTCTAACACGACATTCACTTGATCACGGGTTGACACCACGCTCTCACTTCGCAAAGGCAGTAAAAATACCTAACCATACAACGATCAAGAGACATCTAAGCTCTTCCGAGAGCTACCAAGATTCGCAATCATGCAACACAGTCTGCCAGTTTCGCCTGTCAACAACTTGTCATTACTAAAATGTCACCATGAAGTTCAAAAGTGTCTTAATTGCTGAAACAATTTGCAGGCTGCGCAGATTGCTTTATACCATTAAATCGTGCTGAAATCCACGGTCTTTATATCCTATGATCATTCCAACACCTTAAACAAGTTATTCTCTAAAAATCTAAGCGATCAGGCTGTAACAATAGGGACGAAAATCGAGCGCTGTAAACCCTCAAATAGAGACCATCCGAACAAAAACAACCTCATCGAAAGCATGTGAGCTGAAGTTTATGTGCAATCTCAAAGTGGTATTTCCAAGAAAACATGCTAAATAACTTCTTTTGGTATCTGGGAAAACTCTAGGTTACCTTTTACGATCTGCATGTCTGGTGCTCTATGATTTGGCCTTACCCTGCTGGGACAATGTCCCCCTCAGCAACGAGCAGCTCACGGACTTTACCAGTAAAAGCGGATTTGAGTTTTGGCTGAGTTACAAACGATCCAGTCCTCTCTGCTTTGCCAGAAACTTCATAAAAACAAAGAACACTTCCTTCTCTAACTTCTGATCCAGCGCAAACCCGCCATCGTGACAGTTTGACAGAAGATGAGGTCGAAATAACAACCTCTTTTGACTGTTTGTCCGCCATTTTCGTTTCACTTTTCGCGCGTGGGACAAAGTCTAACCAGTCAGGGTGGGGCGAGCTTTGTGAACTACTCTGTAGTGGTAGGGTAAGAGATATTAGTACTAAAATCAGGAAGTTAGTTTACCATTTGGTAATCTTGAAACAAGAAAAGCAGTTGCAAATTTTAAAGCAATTGTAGCTATTTGTCAATGAAAATAATCCACCAAATTCATAAAGCAAATATTTAGATCGCTACATTTGTATATGAATTTTTTCCTTTTGATTTTTTTGGCAGTCATTAGAATTTATTTATGAAACTGTTTACTCTTTGAGGAGATTTTTTATGCCGTGTTTTATATATGTCATTTTGAAAATATCAAAAAGCCATTTTTTTCTGGCAATTTTTATAGTTTGCTTTTTTTTTTTTTCACTTTCACTATTGCGCCCGCAGTCAACAGCATTGGTCATTTGAATAATTTATGCGTGCACTTCTTCCGCCATGTTGAAAAAGAAGAGACGACTTCCTCTCTGTAAATGGTATTTGTGTGTTTCGTGTGTCATTTTGGCAAAATTAACCATAGAATAACTCGGAAATGGATGACAATGCTAGGGGAATGGCCTCAAAAATACTCTGTGATTTGCTGAACATTTCAAAGGGGGACAGCGCGTCTGCAAACTGTGAGAATGGTAACATTGCTTACAAATTCCTAGTCTTTACTGTGTCTTGAATTTTCGATTTCTCCTTCGTTTCTGGAAGGCGGAATTTAGCTCCCTCAGGCTGGAAAATAATAGACTTTTTATGAAGCTAGTTAGAAGACGATTAACTCAGTGCTTAACTGCAAGATAAAAACTTTTAACAATTAAATTAAGCTATCTGCAAGTTTGTAGCTAGTTTAGTTTATATTCCGTGTAAAATTAAAGACAACTTGTAATTTTAAGTTTTTGCCGGTTTTGGCGCGTATTTTTCTTCAAGTGGAACTAGCTAGGTTTAAGATCCAAACACCAATACCTCTATTTTATTATTATTAATTTTCAATAATGTGTAATTAATTTGTCCTTACTGCTGGTTTTCAACAAAGTGACAAGACAGCAGCCATGCTGGTGGACAAAACAATAAAATTCTCCTTTGCAGAATTTGCACATAAAAAGAGTTTAGTTCCCAGTGGAGAGAAACTCTTTTGTTTTTGTCCACCAGCATGGCCGCGGTGACGTCAGCTGAAAACCAGCATTATTGTCTCCTGTCACGAGTGTTTGAAATGCTTTTGCTCTCTCAGTCATAAAAAATGTACTTTGCATCAAATAATCTTGTGAGACTGATAAAGAACTCAGGCCTCTCATCTTTTTAAAGTAATTGCAATCCTTGATTTAAATTGAACTCACTAAGCTGTTTTGTCTGTTAACATTTTGGCATATCTTATTTTACGTCCCCTCATCCCATAGTGCTGGCTCCTAGTTTGCCTTTCTCCTTTCCGAATCTCATATGAAATAAAAAAAGATGGCCAATTTTCACTTCCATGTTCCTTTTATGGATTGTATGTCAACCGATGTATCAGCTGACATTTCGGTCACCTGTTGGTCGACGTATCAGATGCCATAATTTATTGGTCAAGTGTTGGTCAAGTAATTGGCCAGTACAGTCTATTGGTTGATAGTTGGTTATTACTTTGCCATTGGATCACTGACAAATCAGCGACACTTGGTTGTTGTAACGGTTAACTAGCATTTTGACATATCTTTCGATATATTGGTCAAGCCTTGCTCGAATCTCAGTTGAGACTATATGTACTGCGTGAGTTTGATATGAAATATTGGAAGGTATGAGGGTGGTTAGTGACTCTGTCTTGGGTGTCATTCGAGTGGTATATCGGTTCTGCTGACCGACTCTTGACCGACACTCGACTGACACTCCACCGACATAGCAACCAATGCTGACCATCGGTCGTCTGAGATGCTGCTCAATACTGTAACTCAGTCGACAGCCCCCTATAAGACACATGCTCCTCTTTGATGTATCCTGCCCCTCCATCACCCTAGATCATGCATCCATATGTCCCAGACATCCTTCTGTAACATTTATATGAAACCTATTAAATTCAAAATCATTATCACCTTCACTTTGCTTCTCCTTTTTGTTTATATGTTGGTCTACATATTGACGTCAGTACCTTTTGTCCCATTAGATAATAAAGTAAACAATGATACAGAAAGACAAGGGAATGGTGAGAGAGATCTTGACGATTCTATAAGGTATGGAGTGTAGAGCTGCTGTATGGCCTGCATATTCTCATAACCTGTAGATATTACCCCACGTGTTCCAGATAATTTTCCTTAATCAAAAGCAACCATTCAGAAACTGAAATGTGTACTGAGAGAGATGTTGCCAGTTACCTTTGTACCAGTCCTGTCAATGCTTGACTTCACTTACTCGTATTAGTTATTAAATTGGTATCTGATTCATATGCGGGGATTTTCCCAACTTACTGGCACAGTCTAAGAACACAGAAACACCTGATCATCTAGGAGTTTCCAGTCCTTACTTGATTATTGGAATGTCTAGGGAATAGCTGTCTCAAATTGTCTGTTTTTTTGTCTTACTCAGCTGCTTAGTTTTACTAAAATACTACTACTACTACTACTGCTACTAATAATAATGATAATAATTAATAATACTGTTATTCTTTCTGTAGTGAAACAGCCTCAACTGAAAGTTCTCTTTCTCCTCTGAGAAGGGTAAGAATCATTCTTTGTAAATTGATCAAAAGATTTAGTTTGTAACTCACTCATATCATTCTGTAAAGCTATTTATTAAATGAATGAATCAGTGAAGGTGCAATATGATGTTAATACCATGTTCTGATTGGCCACCTGGGCAGGCAGGATGGGCCCATCTCACCCCGCTCAGGATTTCCCGTGTTGGTCTTACAATAAAAATTGCTCTTTTTCACCATTATAATAAATCCTTTATTGACCAACAATGAGGGACAAAAGTGTCTAGGCACTTCTATAAAATAGTCCATTTTTGCTTAATGGACTTATCTAACCCCTCCCCCTGTGTACCCCCACACCTCCCCTCAAAATCAGTTTTGTAGTTAAGACCCTCACGTCTTCTTTGACTACAAACAACATTGATTCAGGGGTAGGGGGACTTATTTATTTATTATTTTATTTATAGGGTAGAGGGACTTACAGCATTTAAACAGATTTAGATGATAAGTGAATGAAATTGTTGAGAAATGCGTGCCTTTTAGACAAGTGTCTGAACTTCTTTTGTCCCTAATTGTTTGAAATAATTATTATGAAACTATGTTTTGCGGCTTGATTTTTGACTCTGATGAGTTTTGGGGTGATGCCCTTGCTTTATGGGCCAAATTGTTTATGAACAAAAATTTGCAGTAGTTTATGTACAACAAAATGTATGAAGCATATGTCATTACTCATTCTTGTATTGCTGTGCACGTCCCTGATATGCTGTGGAGTTGAGGGGAGGTCATTTGTGTTATGATCACTGCTGTTGCTGTGGATGTAACCTTTTTACAAGTGTTCTCAATAGTTGAAAAACGATGGAGACAGAAAATTGATCTGGTGAATGATTAACTTAAACAGGGGAAATACCCTATTTTTGACATTGTGCTTGACAACTATTAGGGAAAGAATGTGGAAAATACAGGGACCTCTTGATTGTTGGGCCAGGGAATTGTTTTGTTCTTGACTCTGCTCACTCTAACCATACACATAACTGCTGTAATCACATTAGCCTAGATAATCAAATTAGTCTTAACTAAAGATATTGTATTTCTCCATGCAAATAGTCAGTGTATTCCATTGAAGCTTGCAGGTGGCTTGACAGCTAAAATGCACATCATCTACTTTACAACACATTTGTACATTGTCTATGTTCTCCCTTCTGCAAAGGGTAAATTCATCACAGAATTGACAATGAATTTGCACTCTGTTACAGGGAAAGGAACACATGTCTGATGTGTCCATGTCTGACAGTGAAGGAGTTAATTCAAGGATGTCCCTTGAACCTGTAAAACAAGTCATGTAAGCTGCATTTTTAATTTGCTTTTTTTTCTCATGATGATCAAACTATTATGCTCCTAATAATACTGTCCATTATACTTGACATTCTTTGATTTTAGGGATAATTGTGTCCTTTTTTTTTCTGAAGTCCTTTGACGGGGAATGATAGTGAAGGAAGCAAATCAGTTTATGGCAGTGATGTAGAAATTTTAACCAGACAATCAGCTGCTTCAACAACATCAACAGCAAGCAATAAGGTAGGGCTGAAAAGTACTAGTGTCAAACTATTAATATCCTATCCAAGGAGAGTTGCTGTACTTGTATATGCTTCATTCTGCAATTTCTGGATACCTTGGGTCACTCATATGCACCTGTAAGCATGATTGACTTTAATGTAATTTAAACCACTTGGCCTAGGGCTGTTCCTTGGGGCTGGGGGCTGGTAATTTTCCCTGGCCACCATGAGCATGAACTCAGGGCTGTTACTAAGATTTCAATTTTTATTAAAAGTAGGTGGGAAGTGAACAGCTAGGAAGTTCTTGATGTTCTTGTTTGCTTTTGTTGTCTCTCAAAGTAGCTGGCAGTCATGCTCATGGTAACCAGGGGGGAAATCTCTGGTCCCTGGCCCTCAGTGACAACCTTGTCTGAACTCCTGTTACTTTCAAAGAAAACAAAAGACAAATTAAGCCCAAAGAACCTCATATTTAATTTAATAACTGTTCACTGCCCCACCTACTAACTGCATTATGCTTGAAACCTCAGTGCTGGTCCTGTTTTGCATATATTCTCAAAAAAAGGTAGACTTTTTTCTGGAGAGGTGCATTCTCTTAGTACTTCTACAGAAAGTAAAAATCCAGAGGTGGACTTTTGGCTTTTTATAACTTTTAGGAGAAATGTTCTTATTTAATCCTTTCACTCCTGGGAAACTGCGAAATTGAAATGTAAGAATGAAGATGAACTTTTATGATCAGATAGGTTATTAATTTTTTTTTATGCTCACACTCCAGGATTTGGCCCTGCAGACTCAAAAAGGGAGAGCTGCATTTCATTTCCTCCTAATTTTGACTGTGGAAACTATTAATGGTTAATCTTGTTTGATTCTTTGCAGATTAAGTTTAATTCAATGGTGAATTATGAATGGGAGCTTAAGTACTACAGAGGTGCTTTGATAGCTGTTAGCAGCAAGTGTATTGCCTATGCTCTTAAAGGTACATACTCCATAATAATTCCAATATTAATAATAATTATTGTAGGCTTTATTCACTGTATTGAAATTTCTGTATATTTGTTATTTTTGATGCCTGCAAACGTTTCTGACAGGTCGTCAAGGATATGTTGTAAGGCTCTTGAACCCTGAAACAGCTTCTAGGACGCTGATTAAAGGATTTGTTGGTACGATCAGTGAGTTGGCCTTCAGTCACGGAGACTCTGACACTCTGGCTTGTGTTGATGAGGGTGGTAATGTCTACATCTGGGTCATTCACGAGGAAAATGGAAAACTTGAGTATCCTGTTGATGACATGTTGTTTACATCAAAATCTTATTTCAGTATTATCGTAAACTGAATTAAATTTGGGAATTTTATTATTAACTAATTGAAAATTCTCTAGGGGAAAATGTGGATAGCTTTAAGCCCATGCAGGGAGAGTGCAAATGCAAAGAATTTTGCTTACAAATGAGGCTTGGATTTAAAATTTGCTCGTGTTACGTAATCATACATTTGGGCCCTTTAGTCAAATCCTGGATCCTAGAAAACAAGAGTTTGAGGTATTTTATGATGACCTTGACCCTGTCCTAAGTTACTCAGTAAAACTTCACATTAAACGTCCTGCTGGCACTCTCTGTGAACATCACAGATTGGTATGGACTCCATATATGGTGGATACCGAGGAGCAGGAAAGAAACACCGAACCTTCAGGACCATTAGCTATCACACATAATAACCAGGTAATACATACAGATCACTTACATTCGAACTTGATAAAAACTGAACGTTTAAATTACAGACAACTGTACCTGATCTGGACACTTTTTTTCAAATTGGAGAAAAAGCACCAGTAACACTGTCATCAAAATAATGTCGTTAATAATTCAGAGAACAAACCAGTTCACGCACCTCCCCCCCTTCCCTCTATTCTAAGTCAGGGTGTTTGTTGTTTGCTACAGGTTAGTTCGAACAGCAACACAATATTGCATTCAGGGGGTGGGGGAAGGAAAGCTTTATTTTCCCCTTTTCAAGTAGGCAGAATGTCAGAAAGGCCCTTCAGTGAGGAAAAAGTTTAAAGAGCACCATTTCACTGAAAGTGTGATATCGTTCCCATTAGAATATCATTTTTGTCCCAAAAAGGTTTTTGTGCATCATTATATTTTCACATTGGTTCTTTTAACTCTTTCACTGCCAAATGTAGCCAAAGGAAAATATCGACCAAGTTTGCCAATTTCATTTTGTAAAATTTTGAAAAACACATAGCACCATGCGACAGTACAGGCAGAGAGCTTTCATTTGAATGGTCACATCATAGGATTTTGTCCAGACCTGAAAGTTAGAGTCATCTTACAAACTCCACCAAGCACTCTGGCAGTGAAAGGGTTAAGCTACCTGCTAACACAGATAGTGGAAAAGAGACATCATGATCTTGCTTTTTCTAGGTGGAAGTGATAGACATTGACACTCTGTCTCAATGGTGTGGACGAACAGAAGTAGCTGTTGATGAAATAAGGCAAGGAGAAGGGTATTTGGAAATCACCGATGGGCACACAAAGGTAGAGTAATGTGTTCAAATGAAATTTCAGTTTAACCTGAGAATGGATTTTACCAATACATTTTAAGGCTTCTTCACTTTAAACAAAGTGTTGTTTATGCACTAGATAAAATATGAGTAGAGATATGTATGCCTGTGGGCTTTTATAGTGGTGAGCCAAAGGCAAGCAACTGTATAGCCCATACAGATCTGACACGAATATTTTTATCATACTTGTGAAATGAGACAAACAGTATCAAATGTTAATTGTACTGTTTAATTATAAATTCATTCATTAATCCAGTTGTCGATTTTTGAGGTGTAAATGTGACTCAAATACTACCTATGGACTGCTCATAACTTTGTTGAATGATAAATGAATTTGACTTCTTAATTTAAATTTGTCTTAGCAAATCACTGAGGGTTCTTTGTCTCCTGATGGATCAGTACTTGCAACAGCCAGCGAAGATGGCTTCATCAAATTTTGGCAATTGTCTGACAAAGTAGAGTGTATGCATGAATTTCAACCACACGATGGTTTACCGTTGTCATGTATGGTGTTCACTGATAATCAGTTGTCACAAGATAAAGAGTAAGTGACAGATTGAATGAAAAAAGAAGCGACAATACTCGTCATGAAACACTGAAACAGACACCATAAGATTTCTTTTGAATTTTCTTGAAAATTTCTTGGAAACACTCTTCACTCCTTTGTTCTCAGATGTGCCCTTCTCCTTCCCCAATGTCAAGCCATACTTATTTTGGGGCAGTGAGGCCCAGTTCAAACGGCGATCTTGTTATGTACTGAACTTAATACCTATTAAGGTCGACCCAAATGATACAAGTTTAATAGTTCATTCAGATGTCGAACTTTGTTAGTCAGACTCAATTCATTTTCATGATGTTCGATGGTCTAAAATGCTTACAAGAAAAAATAAATTTTGGTAATTTACGCATCAGGTTTGGTGCATGAGAATTTCGGCGTTTGTAATGAAGTTGCTTTACAATCGAAATTCGGTCAGTGTAAAACGCAGACTGCGGACTGCAGACTGCAGACTGCGGACCAGGGGTAAAATGCAGAGAGAGTGTAAAATGCAGACTGCAGACTGAGAGTAAAACGCAGGCTGGGTGCAAAATGCAGAATGAAGACTGTACTTCTTCTTGTTCAAATAGCTAGCTGGCAATCAGTTACACACCTCGCTTCCTAGTTGAAGTACATTACACATTCTCGCCAAAAGTTCAATGAACATTCAAACAGCTAAAGTCTGCTTACCTTGATTTTCAATCCTTTCATAGAAGGTCATCGAAATTTCCTGCAGAACATCTTCCTTTGTTGTTGGAATGATTTACTCCCTTTTTTATTGCCAGAATTCTTTCTGTTCATTATTTTGGGTCAGCAGCTTTTATTTAAGCGTAAACATCATTGTGTTGTACCAATTCACGGTCACCTGTATCGAAAGTTGAAGCGTGAGGTCTCTTGAACGGAAAAAAGGTTAAAGATTGCGATTACTAGTATGTTTTCGCGTCGTCGGCGACGTTCCAGAGCGAGGAAGGAATGGATTTGTGAAAGGAGATGTCAAGTAAGTGTAAGTGGTGTTGTTTACATGTATTTTGGGGATTGTTTTGCCCTTAAACCTTTCCGCGACTACAGTTTATGTTCGGTCTGCATTTTACCCCAACCTGCGTTTTACTCTTAGTCTGCAGTCTGCATTTTACACACAGTCTGCATTTTACCCCTGGTCCGCAGTCTGCAGTCTGCAGTCCGCCGTCTGTGTTTTACACTGACCGAATCGAAATTCCCATGTGGGCTACTCAATCTTTTTTCATGGGTCTCAAATTAGACATGTCAAACTTAATTAATTCAAACATCAATCTCTTCATGTACTTAATATGAATGGATTAGGTTCAGCACGTGAAAAGTGGGCCCGAGGTGACTGTAATACCCAAATTTGGCAACCTTGGGAAAAAGATAACAACACACAAGTGTTTCAACATTTTTGACAAGTATTGTAGTGCAAAGACACATGTCGTCAACCCTAAGTATCCTAATCCCTTACACTAAAGTGAAAGCAGTTCCTCAGGATAGTGGCTTGAGTGAGCAAATCAGGCAACTGAGTGAGGGAATAGCAGATACATTGTAACTTGTGGCAAAGCAGGGAAGTTGCCCTCTTATTCATTCACTTTCTCCATTCCTTGTGAGCCTTGCCTCAACGATCTGAAAGAGGACTGTCTACAATCTACCCTTAAAAATGGTAATAAGACTGGGCGGAGTCCAACCATGCAAGTGTTTAAACAAAATCAGACAAGAACGGAACCCATTCATGTGCAAATGTCCAATCACAGCGCCCAAGATGGCAGGTCCTGTCAGATTACTCATAGCCATGATGCAGATTGACCTATTACACTGTCCTATTAATGCTGAAATCATAGTTGCTGATTGCCATCCAGATTTGAGAATTTTGTTTTAGTGGTGATTTTTGATTAGTTACTGTTACAATGAATGGCAAGGTAGTCTCACTTGGTTGTCCAGGCTTGCATGAAAAGAGGCATGAAAATATGCTTTTTTGGGGGTTCATAAAGTTTTTGTTATTTCAGAAGTAATAGTGTCTCTGAATCCATCAAACGTTTGTAACATGTAACACAGTACGAGCTTTATTATAACAGAGAAATGATAATAGTGGTCCCATCAAGTATTTTTGTTTATTGATGAATTTGTTTCGTTTTCCTCAGACTCCCAATGTGGAGATTTTTAATCACAGGAGCTCAATTTAACAGAGAGATTAAAGTTTGGTGTACAGTTACCTGGTCTTGCCTACAAACAATAAGGTGATTAGGCTGCATTTATTCTTATGAAAAACTTCCTTTTTGCATGTTTTTCTTTCTCGACTAATCTTCTGTTGATGGATTGTCATTTTTCTGCGTTATGTGTAGATTTACATCTCCTGACGTTCCAGGCTCAAGGTAAGTCATTAAAATAGAATGTAATTTGACTGTGGTCGGACAAGAGAATAAAATGTTTGCTCTGTTCTGCAGCCCAGTTAGAATGTTTTGCAGTAGTCAGCAGGATAAACGAGAGTAGAAGGCAGCAAAGGGTTTAAGCTCGTTTGGTTTTTGTTTACGCTATTAAACTGAAGTGTTAAAAGGTATCTAATATTCCATTGGAAGCAGCAAAATTGCCAGTTGCTGGCTCATTTTGAGTGGTGAAATTAACCCAAAAATCTGTCTGCCATCTGTCGGTAGATTGTCGACAGACAGTTCACCGACAAACAATCAACAGCTCTATATACTGCAACAACTTGAAGCAATAGTTCCATGTCTCAAAAAAATGTGTTGACGTCAACAGACAAGTGACCAACAGTTAAACAGCTGTCGGCCAACACTACTCGGTTTAAATTGGGAAAACTGTTGGCCAACTGTTTGTTATTTTTTGGCAGACAGTGGGCTGTTTGTTGGTCAACTGTCAGTTGACTGTTGGTCATAGTCTACCAATGGATAGCTAACAGATTTTTGGGGGAGCTGTTCTTCGATTTTACCTTTTGAGTGGGCTGGATGTGTTACACCAACTTGTTAAAGGCATCTTTGTTAAGTTTACATGTGTTCACAACATATATGCTACTGAGATTCTGATTCTGTTTGTGTTTTTTGCCTTATATCCTTTAGTTCAATCAAACACTCATTTCTGAAAGTGAGTTTGGACCTGTCAGCCTCTTATTTAGTTGTATCGGATGTTATAAAAAAGGTAAGAATATAGAATAATTTCCCCTTGTGGCATTCCAAGTGGGAATGGGGGGGAGCAAATTTCCATATAAAAGTGAAGTGGATGAAAAAATTTAATGCTCTTTAACTGTGCGTTTTACTGTACTCAAATATGTGATCTATGTATTGACTGACTTGAAATGCTTTGTGAAAAACCATGAATCATAGATTGAAGGTAAATTTAAATATTCATACCATACCTACAATTTTATAATTTGAGAGTAACCAGTGCTTTTGATTCCAAGCATTTTGTGTTGCATCCTATTTCACCCTTCTTTCATGGCAATCAACAAGAAAAGAAGTTGTGAAGGACAGAACCCTCTTCAAGATCGAAATTTATTGTCACTGACTAGAGAGAATATGAAAAAATTTTAAAATCTAGCCATATATTTTTTATAAGGTACACATACTGTGTCAGCTCCTACTTTATTGACTACAGGTCTTCAAGGTCACACTGATTGCTCACACTAAATTGTTTAAAGGATGTGTGGAAGAATAATGTCGTCAAGGTATTTCAGAGTCCATGCCGTAAGCTAAAGTGTGTGTTATTCTCTCTCACTTTTATTACCAGGTTCTTTACGTATTTATGTTCCATCAAGACTTTGAAGAAGGCCAAGCACACGTCACATCGGTAGCAGAATTCCTACTCACTCAACCGCTGCTAAGCTTTGTCGTTGGCCAAGTCAAACGCTTCAAACTCAAATCAAATGTAGAACAAAATGGCGAAGAAAATGGGGATAACCATGTTGATGATGACATTCACACGTCACATTTAGGGCTAGACGAAATAGCTACCGGAGAAGATACAGGAAAGAAATTTGGTGTCCAGTTACAACTGTTTTGCATTCAAACCAAGTAAGACTAACCCAAGTTACTTACATCATAATTATTTTGGTGTCACCAATAAAATAATACAGTTGTTTCTCTTTTACACATCGCATGTTCTGTTGCCAAGATAATGGATGGTCACTGAAATGAAAAAGTTAGTAATACATAAATTTTAGGGTTTTGATGTGAAGAAATATCGTAATTAACCAACCTGAAGGTAAATTTTCTTGAATACCAGAATCTTTTGTTCTGTTTTTTTTTTTTTACCTCATAGAAGTCTTTTCTTGGCTCAAAAACATATTACAAAAGCGAAAATCTACAAGAAAACATCAACAAAAGATGGTTGTTCTCCTACCCCATGAACTTTGAATGACTAAATAGTTTGTAAATTTAATATAATGGTACAGTTGCTGATTTTTATGTGTTTTGTCTGGAGATCTCTGAAAGCTGGCTTACTATCAATCTCTTCAAGTGGGATGAAAAAACAGTAAAATCAAACAGGAGACCATTATAACAGCCCAAGACATTCAGTCTCTTACTTCAGAATGGCAGTTTTGTCATCTGAATCAACCATCACAAAGTCAAATTGTGACCTTGAATTTTGTTTTTGCCCTTTCAGAGCAATGCAAGAACTGCTAATACACTTCCATCCACAGCCGTCAGTTCCCCCACCCACCCCTTCCACATTGTCATCACTTACAACCACAACAGGCCAATCTGGTAAGTGCTTTGTTTTTGTTGATATCTTCGTAGGATGCATTTAATAAAATGAAGGCTAAATGACCATGCAGATCTAGTCTATCATATTAACAGAGTTAAATTGCAGTACATAGAACCAAATCTCCGTGTGTTTCTCTGTGTTGCAGACACCATTGTTGGTTCCCTTTTTTGTTGTTGTATGGGTATAGTCTAGTGACCTCTCAGTGTTTTTTATCAGCCCTTTCATTGCTAGAGTAAATGATGGAGTCTTCCAAGGGTGGCTGTAACTATCGTGTCTATGAAGGAAATCCTACTTTGTGACCATTCAAATAAAAATCTCTTTGGCAGTACTTTCACATGGTAATGTTTGTTTTGTGTAGCATTTTACAAGATAAATTCTGAAATTTTGATAAAATTTGACTTAATCCATTTTTTAGAGTAACTGGGTTAGGTCTTTTTTATTTTAGTTTTTGTACCATCTGCAATACCATAAATTTAAACTGCCAATATTCTGTTTTTGAAGGCATCATGACAGAAGTGACCAGGTCTCATATTTGAACTTCCATGCACTGACCTTTTTACCAACACAGACACTACCACATGAAACAAAAGAGGGCGTTTGAATACCTGCATACTGAAGACATCATTACCACCAGTTCATTAAGTTAAGCGTGAGTGTAGGGTGAATAATAATTATGTTTTCTCTTTCATGTAGTTATCCATGATGCACTGTCTGACTTGAGTGGAATAGAAACAGGCTCTGAAGCCAGCACTAATATTGAAGATCCCGAAGATAGTACAGATGGTCCAAATCCAGTTCGCGCTAAGCTGATCACACCCGAAGCCTTCAAAACTAGTGCATCTAAAGGCTTACCTCAGTCTGAGGTTAAAAACAGCAGTGGCAGCAGTGTGACCATGGTTTCTGGTCTGAATAATTCACAGGGGTCAGTTGATGAGTTGCTTGGTTCATCAGTGTCATCTCGACTGTCTGACACTACTATCAGGTCAAGTAATTCAGCGACACCTCAGGGGTCTTTTGCTCAAGAGAGTGGTATTCTAACTCCCACATCTTTACCTCTTCCTCCATCACCAACTGTTACGGGTGCACCTGACCCCAGTTCTGTCCCAATTCCAAACTTTCGTTCTAGTCCTCGTGGGGAGACCAGCCCTCAGTCATCGGTCAAAGAACCTGTTGTAAATAGTGAAACTGAAGCTGCTGTTTGCAGTTCAGTGATTCAAAATTTAGAAAATGGGTCAAGTGGTTCCAGGGGCACAGCCCTAAAAGACAGGGGTGCAACAGGGAGTCCTGTCGGAAGACAAGTGGATGTTGAAGCATCAGCTGATGATGAAGCAAAGGACGAAGGTGACGAGGAGCTTCCGGAGTCGCAGAAACCAGAGGCTGAAATACAGGAAGAAATAAATGAAAGGGAACGAAAATCTAGTTCAGGTTCAAGCACAAGTGAAAGTTTAAGACCTTTATCTGCTAGGGCGGCTGAAGGAAACCTGATAAGTTTGGAAGATAACATGAAAGGCAAAGAAGATGACGTTCAAGCAGATGGAGAAGATGCTTTCACAGATGACAGGCTGATGGAACAGTGGGAAATGAACGTTGATGATGAAGCAGTTCCAACTGGACGAGAAAGTCCCGAGTCAGCCCATGCACTGCCTGTCAGCACTCCAGTGATGCCCAGTGCACGGAGAAAGCAGCCTTCAATCCACACAAGGTATCAGCTTAACCCTTTAAATCCCAAGAGTGACCAACACTTATTTTCTCCGAACAATATCAGTACATTCCCTTAAAATTCCCAGCATAATTAATAACAATGTATAAATGATGGAGTTGTAATGTTTCAGGACTCAAAAAAGGTGACCATTTAAGCTCCCTTTGCCCAATTTAGGGGTGTAGCGTGAGATTTTGAAGGAGTACGCACGCGGGGAAGAAAAGATGTAGTGCCGAAGGCGGCTCAACCTTAGGGGGGCTGGGGCATGTCCCCCTTAATTTAGGGTCTCGGAATTGCCATTTCCAGCCTTTTCTGCAAGACATTTTCAGGAAATTAATACACAGGAAAACGAGTAGTTAGTTGTTTATTTTACCCATCTCTAGTGTTATCCGTAAGGTACAGTGTTTACGGAAAAAAAGGGCCAGTGACGCCATTAGAATTATGGAATAATAAAAGTCAAAGAAAGACTAACACAAAGACACCAATATAGTTGGAAAAATGTATCAGTCATCCCGATTTAATGATGAAAAAAGGCTTTTTCAGGGAATAAAAAGCATATAATTTTTCCATATTTCATGACATGTAAGCACGGGTCTATGTGCGTATATGGACGCTACGCTTCTGCAATGGGCAAGTGTCCAGGTAAGCCATAGATCTTCAAACTAAATCATTAACCTTTTAAACCCCAGTATCCACATACCAATTCTCGTGACTGATCTCCATACATTTCCTTAAGGAATTAGTTGAGAGAATTTGATAATTCTATATCTTTTCTGTTGGTGATGTATGGATGTTGTCAGGAGAAAATTGATGTTGGTCACTGCGCCTGACAAGACAAGCACTGAAGTAATGGCCCTCGGTATGCATGTGAGAGGTGCTTGTCCAGAGGGCAAGATGGAATTCAAGCTTTTTTTGAGTCCCGCTTTTGATTCTTTGGATGATATTCTAAAATGTGACCCTTCAAATGAAAGCTCTTCTGCTGTACTTTCTCTAGTGTGCTTTTTAAAAGGCTGAAAAATGAAATCCTGCATTTCTTGTGAATATTGGTGTGCATCAGTTTGATATACGTGTTTCTTAAATATGAATTATTATTGGTGGAAAATTTCGTCACAAATGTTTGCAAAATTTATTGTACCATAAATCACAAAGCAGCAAATTTTCCCAACATCTTTTTTTTTTCTCTTTTGATTTTAGTTTTGTCTCTACTCCTGTTTCTGCACTGGATATTCCACCACAGCCCATTCCAGGAAGCAGTGTGGTAAGAAAGAACTAACAACTTTTAGTAAAATCCAACTAGTGGTCTATTATCAGTGCTGCGTTGTGATTGGTTGAGCTACTACTAGGCTATATGTTATAGCCCACTAGTAGCGAAAAGCGAGGGCTTTTTGGCGGCAAAAAAGGATTAAAGTCTAGCTTTAACTGGCTAAAAGTTTTTTATTCTCGATATTTTTGACCAACTAGTTAAATTTTACTAAAACAATTATTCCTATCGCCCTCATGGCCTCTGAGTCGATGGCCCATTCAACCTTCGGCCTCATGGGCTACTGATTCAGAGCCTATTCGGGCTCGAAGAATAATTGTTAAATAGTTGAACTCTATTAAGCGGCCACTCTCCATTAATCGGCCAGTAATCAAAATCCCAAATAATTGTTGAAAAGAATAGGAAATTAATGATGAGGCTATCATTTTTAGCAAAAATTAAATTTTATTAAGAGCATTCAATGACTGTTTCAGGGAGCAAATATTCCCTAGTAAAAAAATTCTAAAGTTCATGAAAGGCTTTAAATTTCAGCACAACTTTCCATTTTTCTGAGTTACGCAGAGTTTTTCTACTTTAACCTATCTAAGGTTTTTGGAGGTCGTGTTTTTTCCATATTTTATTACCAAGATATTAGGTTGATAGATCGTTTTCACTGTCACGCAACAAAAAAATAAATTGGAAACCGTCCAGTGGAAGAAGCCAAGAAAATGAAATGTTATAAAAGACTCAAATATAAACGATTTGTCCAAGTTTCAGGTCTTTGTGGCCCACAGTTTCTGAGTTATTTGCCGAAACGTTTCATGCACCTTTGTAGAGCTTTGTATGGAGACACCATATTGGTATACTGTTTTGGTCCACCAACATGGCCGCCGGAAATCAACAATAAAAAAACGATAAAACCTCGCTATTTTGACTTTACAATTTGATGTGAACCATCTATTGTTTAAAAAGGTCTCCTTAAAATATCACTGTAAATAACAAATGTCCCCAAGAATCATCCTTAGAACTGTCGGCTATTTGAGACACTTCTGATTCACCAGTATTTACAAACATTCGGTTGTTGGGTGTCCCTGCTTTATAGCCAGCTACTGAACTGCTGAAACAAGTTCCTTTAATGACTCGTTAATTAACAGTCTGTCATCTAAATGTTTCAGGATAATAGTATCTTGTCATCCATTGGTGAACTGGTGAGTTTGGTCAAGGCTCAACAGAAGGACATACAAGAGCTTCAACAGCGGCTGGACCGATACCAAGCTGCCCAACAGCAGCAAATGACAACAGTGTCAAATGAGGTTCAAATGATTGAAGAGAGAGTGTCTGGCAGACTACAAAGGACTCTTACTGACTTCTCGAAAGAGGAATGTATCCTTCATCCACTGTTCCTGTCATAAGGTTGCCAGGACTACAGTTTCGACACCTACGTAACGTGTTTTGCTAGAAGGTATTCTAGTCAATGCCTCAGTTGTTCAGAAGGTGAATAACGCTATCCACCGGATAAATCTCTATCCACTGGTTGGCGCAATTGGTGTCCCCAATACTTATCCACTGGAAAGTGATTTATCCGGTGGATAGTGCCATCTAGCTTTTGAACAAACGCGGCTAGGAGTGGGGCTTTTAAGCTATGATGACAATTTTTGCTGCTTTTGTCAAGACACTGCATTTCTTTTCTCATTTTGTGATCAGGTATATTGCTCATTCATTGAAACCCTAGGAACTTTTGTTTGCCTTGTGATCAGTTGCTCACTGCATAAATTACAGACAAGGCTAACTCAACAGTCTTAAGTGAAAGACGCACTTCCCAAAATAAATAACACAACACTGCAGTTTAAGGAATAGCAAATTTCCTTTTCAAAATTAGCGCTGGACGTATTTTCATCTTGTTAAAAAGTTTGTGTGTTTAAGAGTTCTGTTCACATGGAACCACCTTATCCGTCTGAAAATTGAGATGCCTAGCCAACTATGGCCTAAAGTTCTGTGTGAACACAGCGAAAATATTAAATGGTCCCTTGTTAAGGAGGTGTCCTGCCAAATTTTTAGCCAGTGGAAAATTCGCTCCGATGCCTTGTGAACGTAGCTTGATCCATGGCTCACAATATTGTGCCAGTGATATTTCACCAGTCTTGCTCTCTTTGATAGATTTTTATCAGTTTTAAGTTCAAGGGTTTCCAGAACGGTTTTGGGAAGATACTTTCTTTAACCAACCTCATAGCCCAGCGTCTAGATAAAGCTCTACGCGAGAAACATTCCGGAGATAAGAAAAGACAGGAGCAATTGCAGAGTACATTATCACAAGCGCTAACCACAACCTTGTCAGGAAAACTGGACAAAGCAGTGAAAGCTGAAGTTAAGAGTTCTGTTGTACCTACAGTACAAAAAGTATTGAACTCCATACAGGAACAACTTAATACTACACTGGCACAGGTAGGTAATGATCGGCTAAGCTGCTCCTGAGCCACAGGTAATCCAACCCTTCTTTACCCCATTCAGAAAGGGCTCGAAAAAAGTCCCATACGTTAGTCTAGGACGAGTAGATCTTCTTACTGGGCAAGTTGCTCACTTGCCCCTTGGCAAGTTATCCTCTAACAAAATCATTAACTACGATAGGCACTGAAGTAGTTGGCCCGGGCAAGAAAAATGGTGAGAGCTGCTTGCCCAAAAGATGTGCTGGACCTGGAATTCAAGATTTTTTTTTAGCCCTGGTCTCTGATAAGGAATTCAACTTTTTTTCGAGCCTTCGTCACTGATGAGGGTAATCAGAGTATGAATGGGAAAAAAGGGCAGACTTCATTAGTAGTGAAATACGGAAATATAGTACTGTACTATAGTACTGGCTAGTAGGCCGGGGGTGGGGGCTTCATTCTGAACTGACCAGCTTCGAAGGAACCCGAAAGCAACCACCGCATGAAAGAGATCTTCAAACCTTGGCTTTTTGGGTGGCTGCTTGTTGGAGGTTAGACTGTATTACTGCTTTCCCTGGATTGGAAACTGGCTGATCCCTACATTATGTTGCAGATGCCTTGGTATTTATACCCATTTTGCACTGAATTAAGAAAAAACAACAGGGGTTCATTTGAGTTCAGTTCGTTTTGTCAGCAATACACTTGTTATAAACGATTTAGTATTCTTCATGTCATGAGTTTGGCGGAAAGAACAAATCTGAGTTACATCGGGATTCATGCTATCCCCCAAACAACAGTGTGGATGCTCTTAGCTGTAGCCTGCAGTGCAGGTGTTTAGGGGGGATAGGAAAGAAAACAGCACAATTTTCTACCCCTTCTCCCCCGGTCCTATCCACTTTTTTCCCCTTTCACCCTAATGAGTGCTTTTGTTATTCCCCCAATTTTGCTCTGCTTCAAAAATCAAAGATGGCTTCCGCAGACAAGCTGAATGATCATTCACCCGAAAAATTATGCGTGTACCACAGGCTACCTAAATGCAGAGGAACTCGTGGTACACCAGGCTATCTTGTAGTAAAATGTGAAGTAATCACATCAGAAATGCTTATTTACGATAGAGACTTTCCCTGTAGCTTTCTAGTTTAGTTATATCCCTGCTAATTTTGGTTTTCTTGATAGAAACTAACAGCTGCCGATGCTGTTTTGAAGGAGGGTATTGCAAAAATGGTCAAAAGCAAGGTATGATATGCAAGAAACGAAACACGTTTGGACCAAAGCGGTCAGTTTATAAACAGATGGATAATGTGACTCTTACTATTGCTTTTTGTGGTTTTGTGAACAGGGTGTGGTCGATGCAATAGGCGGTGCTGCAGCCAGTGCATTGCAGGGTCCTATTCAGGTCACTTATCGTGAAGCATTCCAGAGCACCATCCTGCCATCCTTCGAGAGGGCCTGCCAGAACATGTTCCAGCAGATCAATGAGTCTTTTCATAAAGGAACTCAGCAATGTAAGTTTTAATCTGTTCTGCAGGGATGTTTATTTCATTATAATTCTGCAGCTTCAATCCCTGGCTATGACCAGTCAGTTAGGTCAGTCAGTCAGTTTCATTTGAAAAACATACTAAGATGTTGGCATTTGCTGAAGGGAGTGTTTGACCGTCCCAGCATCGACTATCAACAATGTTTGCGACGATTGGTTGTCTTTAGGTATTAGAGAGCTTTAGATTCTAAGACGAGAACATCTACGAGTACAAGATTTTCGCAATAGTAAGTAGTGCTCACGCGTGAACCAGCGTCATTTTGGCGGGAAAACGTGGTAGCCGTCGTCACTCTACTACGAGTTTTAGCGAGAATGTCGTAGTGGCGGGAACAAGTTATTAGAAGTTTTAGCATTTTGCAATCTGGAGAGGGCTCAACCTCCTTCAATAACGATAACAGTGCTAATTTCTGGTGGAAAAAAATTCTATGAAGAATTCCGGGGTGTCTATAATTTGCGAATACGCGAAAAAACTTTCAATCAAATCTCGTACTCGTAGTCGTTCTCGTCCTCCTATCTAAAGGTGACCTCAATTAAAAACCAGTAAATACAGAACGTATTTTGGTCAGTTCTGCTATAGCCTGTTTGGAAGCACTTTTTCTATACCGGTTATAAGCCCTCTTGAATATACGCTCCACTGTTTATAAGCCCTCCTCAAACCCCGTACGACGATATATTAGCCCAGGGCTTATAATCGGCAGTTAACGGTATCACATTCTTATTACAGACCTACAGCAGGTGACGACTGCTTTGGATAATCGTAGAAGAGAAGAAAGAGAATCTGTGAACCCTGTTATGCAGCAGCTAGAGGCACAGACCAAGTCATTCCAGGCCATGACAGAGAGACTATCATCAAACATCATGGCTGACTTTGAGGTCATGTTACAGAAACAGCTCAGTTCATCAATAGAAGGGTACGATGGTTTTAGGATAACGTGTTCCGTAAAACGGGTTTGCGACCATCCGTGCAAATCGGTTACAAACTGTTCAATCCTTAATTGAACAGTTGGGGGGCAAACAGGGTCGACTCCTCAAGTTAAAGCTCTTAACCCTTTAGGTCGCAAAGGTGACCAACATCAATTTTCTCCTAACAACATCAGCAGATCATCAAGAGTTAAAGTTATGAGAAGTACTAAATTGATTACCAAAGGGAGATCGCCTTGATGTTAAACCAAATTCTCTCAACTATTCTTAAAAGAAATAAAGAAATCAGTCTGGAGAATTTGTATGTGGATCTTGGGGCTTGAAGGGTTAATTGTTACCCAAACGTTGAGGCCAGACTAATATAGAAGTTACTATAATAAGTTTAATCACCTTTCTACATCTCACCTCAGCTATCATCTTTGTGTCTCGTGGCATATAAGGCCTCCATAAAGAATTTCCACCTTTCTGGGTGAGCTGCTATGGTTCTCGTTAGTGTAAGGACCCGCCACAGCATTCTCTTGATTACTTGAATTCTCTCTGCTTCTGGTGTTTGTAATAATAGGGCTTTATGGGAGAGGCTTCTCAGCCCTTTGCCCAACCCCAAGTATAGTAACTTTAGCTTTTAAGTGTAAACTCACCCTCCTTGGAAACCATCCGAATTTTGTTGGGGCAGCCTTGTTTCTCTTTTCATGTGACTGATTCTGAATATTCACTATCCTATTTACCTCAATCTGGAGGACCGCAGAGGTTCACACTTACTGTGGTCTCTACTCTTCGACCTGTTCGACATGAGTGGCTTTTGAAATGATGGATAGCGCTATCCACCAGATTAATCTCTGTCCTGCGGATAACGCAATTGATTTTCGTAATACTTATCCGCTGGATAGTGATTTATCCGGTGGAAAGCGCAATCAAACTGGAGCAAGGAGTCTAAGACCCAGTCGACTTACTTCTTTGGGTCATTAGGCTGATTTAGCAACAGAACGGGAACGTCAGTTCACAACGGCTCGCGCAAATCAAACAACTGGCTTGACCAATGGCAGAGCGGCAAATTGGGTACCGGAAGTCGTGTTTAGTCCTTTCTGCGCGCTTTCCCGTCGCCAACTGACGTTCCCGTCCTGTTGCTAAATCAGCCTATTGACTTACGCAAACCACTCCATCACGCCAAGGTGATCATCCCTTCGGATCGGAAATCAGTTTCATACGATGATGGAATTTATAATTTCCCTTCGTAGGTTGCGCGAGGAAATATTTTCACGCCTCTTGTCAGAGGTCTTAGCTTCAGTGCAAGACTCGGTTCAAAAGGAAATGGGATTGGGCCTAGAAGGGCTCCGTCAACAGCTTAGTGAAATGATAGCTACCTCAGTGGAAAGCTCCACCCAGCAGGCTCCTGATCTGGCACGCACTCAGGTGGGTACCAGAGAGCAACATTGTAACAGCGCAGTTCCCTTCCCCCGCCCCCCCCCCCCCCCCCCATCCCGTTGCTTTTAAGCCCAAAGGGAAAAACACAGAAAAAGACCCGGAAAAGAAAAAAAAAGAGAAAGTAGGGGGGGGGGGGGGGACGGGGATGTTTTGTCGTTTAGAAGGGGAGGGTGGGGGAAAGAGGAGGCAAGTGCGAGGGGATGTTGAGCGGGGGGGGAGTCTTGTACTTAGAGGGAGACTCTGTTCAAAAGGAAATTGGGTTGGGCCTTACAAGGCCTCCTCAAAAGCTTAGTGAAAAGATAGCGCCATCAGGGGAAAACCCCCCCCAGGAGGGTCCTTGTCGGGGCCCCCCCCAGGGGGGTACCAGAGAGCAAACTTGTAAAAGGGCGGTTCCCTTCCCCCCCCCCCCCCCCCCCCTTCGTTTCCGTTTGCTTTAAAGCCAAAGGGAAGAAGCACAGAAGAAGCCTGGAAAAGGAGAAAAAAATTGAATTTGGGAGGGGGGATCGCGACGGCTATTTTTTGCTCATTAGAGTCCGGCTGTGCAGAAAAGAGGACGGAAAGTTCAAGCGATTTGCTAGAGCGGTAGTGACTTGCCGACACCGATCGATCCGAGAGATACGTTTATTTCGCTCAACGCACTGTTGTACAGTTAACTATAGTTAAGAGAAGAGTCCACCAGTCCTTGTTAAATGTGAGCATTGGACAATTCTCTATTATGTAGTATTTGTCAAAACACACAAAGCGAATCAGCGTGGCTTGGGATTTTTCACGACCACCGGATATGGGAAGATAAAAATGTGAATTTGGGGAAGGGGTGGCAGCCGCTATTTTCTAGCTCGCTCTCGCTAGTCTTCCGCGCCTCTCCAGCTTGGCGAAAAGAAAAAAGGAAACGACTGTTACACAGGCTACCATCGACCCTCCTCTTACCTCCCCCCGGGAGACAAAATGGGGATATCGTGAAGACATTTTGAGAGTTGAAGTGACTTCATTTCTCTCTGCAGGTGTTGGTTTCACAGTTGTTGGAATCTGGACAATTGGGCCAAGCCTTCCAAGAGGTATTGGAATTACGTTCGGTTTGTTATTGAAATGTTCATGTTGTTTAATAAATGGTGTTGATGAGTATCTTCATCATCATCATCATTACCGTCGCCATAGCAATGGTTATCATTATCATTATACCCTTCACCTATTAGAGACCTTTAGATTCGAGGACGAGAACGACTAAGAGTACGAGATTTGACTTAAAGTTTTTTCGCGTATTCTCAAAATATAGACTCCCCGGAAAGCTTCAATTTGCCATTTTCACCAGAAAATTTAGCACTGTTACCTTTAGTGAAGGAGATTATACCCTCTCCCGATTGCAAAATGATAAAACTTCTAACATTTGATAACTTGTTTTCCCCCCTTCGACAATCTCGCTAAATCTCGTAGTAGAGTGACGATGGTTCACGCGTGAGCACTACTTACTATTGAGAAAATCTCGTACTGGTTTTCGTACTCGTCTTAGAATCTAAAGGTCTCTAATTCCATCTTCACTACCATCATCATCACCATTGTCATCATAACCATCACCACCATCACTACCACCATCATCATCACCACCATCACTACCACCATCATCATCACCACTATCACTACCACCATCATCATAGTCACCACTACTACCCATCACCATCATTGTCTTCAGCTTCCTTACCTTAACCACCACCACCGCCACCATCTCTTCGGAGTCTTCGTCATCATAATGACATCATCATCGTCATTTTTGACCTCTGTATATTTTGTTGCAGGCCTTGACAGCATCAGATCTGAATATCGTCATGTACGTTTGTGAACAAGTGGATCCTGAGAGTGTGTTTTCTCAGTCACCTTGTCCCTTATCGCAGCCTGTCTTGCTGTCTTTGATACAACAGCTGTCAGTAGATCTTACCGTTAACACGGAGCTTAAACACAAGTGAGTCTTAATAGTTACAAGTTTGTTGCTTACGCAGCAGGACGGCAGAAAGAAGAGGACGGCAAAACGTTTTTGTGTGACAGGGTTGTTACTTGCTTGTTTTGGTGTGTTATACACCTAACGTGACTGTATTTTGGTTTTCACAAAATTTCTGTTCAGAGGAAGGAGACGTTTGGTGGAAACGTTTTTCAAACATTGTTATTGTCACGCTTGTGACACAACGTTTACCATCTTCTTTCCTTTGCCTTCCTTGCGTCCTAATGCGTAAGTTAACAACGTTTAAGGTGTGGTAAAGCATCAAACATAAAAATAATTGGCTTTTGATTCGGCCAGAAACCAAAGGATTACGTAGCTAGATATGGTCAAAAGATGGGGTGTCAGCTAGAAGTAATGTACTGAGGTTATACAGGCTGCGTTCTAACGAGTAAACGCGGCATACAAACTTCTGTTATGGCTTCGGAACACACGTGAACGACGAAAACGATCGTCTTTAACTATCTCCAGATAACTGCTTTCTGATGAGAGTTTTTGATTTAGTTATTTAAGTTAAGGCGACATTGAGTATTTTCATTTCAGACGGTCCGCATTCAACCAGTCAATTGTATCCTTCCCTTCTGTTCAATTGACAGGTACATAGAAGAAGCGCTCATGTCATTAGACACCACTGATGAAGTGACAAGAGAGCACATGCCCGCAGTTCTAGAAGGACTGTGTAAACAGCTGCAGTCTGCCATCCAAGAAGCAACAGGTCCTATGCAGCGTTCTCTTAAAATGCTACAGATGGCTGCAAGATCACTGTTAAGATAACTCAACAAGCAGTCAGTGTTGTGCCACGGAAGCAGAATGGACCGCCCGTGTGGTTATGTCGAGGATGTACCTCAGAACAACCAAGATGAGTTCGGGTCTGAAGAGAAGAGAAGAGACTGGCCAGCAAGAGGACCACATCCTGTGATGACCAATAATTAATACGAACTAATACGACTAATGTTAAAAGTTAAAAATTTTGTGTTTCGTTGGAAGATCTAAAGCAGCTAGACTTCTCAGGACTTTTTTTTTTGCCATGGTTTTCATGTTGTGTTAAACATACTCAAACTGTCTAACCGCGTTAAACTTAATTCAAGAAGGTTTAAGAAAGTTTATAACTGTCTACTAGCTCAGGTTCAGTTACACCACGATATACTAGGTTTTCAAGGCTGTTTTATTTTTGTAACACACTGGTAATAAAGAATGGAACTGAGCCTTGAACTCTTGAATTTCATTTTATTACTCGAATTCTCAAGTTGTGTAAGGAAGGAAGGAAGGAAGGAAGGAAGGAGTCATGAGTCATGCAGGAGAAGACAACAGACGTGCCCTCTTTACAATATATATTATAGGGACCTTAAGATCCGACGACGGCGACGGCAACGGGAACGCCACAAAAGCAATAGGTTAAATAACCAAAACAACAATTTTGCACGTGCATCACGCTTTTTTGTACATTTCTTTGCCGTCACTGCACGACTACGACGTGAAAATGCCTAATTTCACGATGTACAGAGGAAGTACACAAGCGACGACGAAATTTCCCCTCTCTCTCTGAACTTGGATATGGTTCTTGGGAATTCAACTTTAGGAGGGTTCGCCTACATTTGACAAAGTTAGTGACTTGGAGTAATCGCGATGAAGATTGAAAGAACGCGAATTCAATTTTTCAACGACGTTTTCTCTGCCGTCGCCGTCCTCGGATCTTAAGGTCCCTANGAATTCTCAAGTTGTGTAAGGAAGGAAGGAAGGAAGGAAGGAAGGAGTCATGAGTCATGCAGGAGAAGACAACAGACGTGCCCTCTTTACAATATATATTATAGGGACCTTAAGATCCGACGACGGCGACGGCAACGGGAACGCCACAAAAGCAATAGGTTAAATAACCAAAACAACAATTTTGCACGTGCATCACGCTTTTTTGTACATTTCTTTGCCGTCACTGCACGACTACGACGTGAAAATGCCTAATTTCACGATGTACAGAGGAAGTACACAAGCGACGACGAAATTTCCCCTCTCTCTCTGAACTTGGATATGGTTCTTGGGAATTCAACTTTAGGAGGGTTCGCCTACATTTGACAAAGTTAGTGACTTGGAGTAATCGCGATGAAGATTGAAAGAACGCGAATTCAATTTTTCAACGACGTTTTCTCTGCCGTCGCCGTCCTCGGATCTTAAGGTCCCTATTAATATGTGAACAGTAAGCTCGGATGTCAGCATACAAAGGCGCCACTGGTGGCGCTCTAATTCCCCAACCCATGATGTGAATGATGTGTGAAGGTTGGCCACACCACCGGGGTCTACGTCCCCTACTCTTTCGAAGGGTTGATTTCTAGTGTCGCGTAATTTTTACGTGCGTAAAATTTACGTTTGCAAATAAAATAGAGGCAATGCATGAAAGGTCGCTCGTAAGCGTAAAAGTTGAACCTCGCTCAACTTCTCGTTCAAGCTTAGCACTTTTTATCTTGCCTCTATTTTATTTACGTGATTAAAATTTACATGAGTTAACGTGCGTAACCTAAAACGCGTCAGTGGAAACCAAGCTTATAGAGACAACAGAGAGTCTGTAAACAGGCTGCATGACAACGCACACGTAAGCGCCATGAAGTGTTTGTCGTGTCCTGAAAGCACCAGCACTAAGATGCTATTTTATCAGTGAAGACCCTGCACTGCATTTTCAGTGACGTTTTCAACGGATGTGTGGACGGTAGGCGCAGGCCAAACCGAGAAAATGGTAGTTTATCATTAACAAAAAGTTCCGGAAAATCCGGTTGGAAAGCAATGGAAAACGACGTTTCGGGTCGTTGCAGTCCAAAATTTACGGGAGCAACGGAACATCTGAAAAGGTAGTCCTGTTTTTCGGGACGGAACGTTCCAAAAAGAAATTCGTGTTTCATTTCAATACCCCACGCTCAAACATGACTTCGAGGCTTTAGGGACAAAATTGCAAATTTTTCACGACTTCATTCTCTCCAAGCCATCTTTGATAGCAGTTTCAGGCCTTCGCGGCCGTTTTTGGGTAAATGAAACTGATTTGTGCAAATGGTAAACGCGATTCCGGGACGATACCCATTTGCCTAAACCGTGAACCGATCGGTTTTCCCATGTACAGCTGTAAATGGTAAACAACCGATTTCTCCGTTTTTCAAAGAAAAACGATTACGTGTTGACGGGGCCTAAATCTATTGCTATTATTTTTAAGTTCTCCTTGCCGTCGTCGTTTTAAACTCCCTAATATCAGCCTCTTTTTGTCGTTTTGACTAAACGCTACAAAACCAACTTTCTGCCATCTTTGTTTAATACTGTTTCAAAAATACATTTAATAACTTATACTTTCTTCAATATAATAAAAAGGTTCAACATCATCCGGAGAATTGTACATGGACAGTGAAACAATCGATCAGACGATCACTGCTATTTATAATCAAAAGGTCGTTTCGCTTCCGTGTACAAATAGTTTCTTGGTAAGCTACTTCCAAGATTTTAACTAAAGTTTAAGAGTAAATTTCTATTGTATATTGTACATTTAGACTGTTTCCAGTCTTCTATTTGGGTTTCCTTGTCTAAAGGAACAGTCTATTTAAACAAATTATGCACTGTAAGTTGTTTTGAAGTAAAGTTTATCACGAGAGCATGAAATAAGTAATTGAAGAGCTGATCGAAAAACGGTGACAATTTTGCAGTGACATCAAGGATAGTAAAATTTTTCTCTCACCACATAATAAAAATAGAAAGACGTCACTTGCACCATTTTCCTATTCAACCCTTCAAAAATAATCCCTGAATGTTATTGAGAATGAAATGACATTGCTCTCCTATTTAAAGTAGAATAAATTAAGTGAAAATCTCATTTCCTCACATCATTCACGTTATAAAGTTACAAAAACATGATGCTTGAGTTTTTGGAATGGATGATTTCAGAGGTCAACTTGTTTTTTAACATTTCGTTTTAAAACCTCAGCAACTTTTTCTTCAAACTTCTCTTTCGCACGAACCCAAACTGGATGAGAATCCACCTTAAAAAGGACAGAAGAAGAAAAAAGACAATCACAAATAGTAAGCCAAAAAATATATACTATTTATTAAAAAAGCACTCAGCCGAATTTAAAGGGCTTAAACACTTGACTACCTACGAGTTGCAAATAATTTTTAATAGAAACTTGCTCAATGAAATGGGCTTTTATGACAGGAATTAGCCTTTATACTTAATGACTGATTTCAGCACCACATGTAAAAGAAAACTCAGAGAAGTTTGCTATGGAACTACAATGGAGTTTTATTTTCTAAGTATTCAGTGAAGATAGCTTATGGCTTAACCCTCCCAGAAATAACCGCAGGATGGGCTGGAAATGGTTGATTACTATTTACAAAAAGTTTTCGGAAAATCCGGTTGGAAAGTTGATGGATCACGCCTTTTTGGGTCATACCGGCGGCACTCCGGGAGCAGCGGAACATCTGAAAATGTTTTTCCATATGGAATGTTCCTGACGGAAATTCGTGTTCTATCTCTTAAAAGCCATGTTTGATACCAATTTCAGGCCTTCGCGGCCGTTTTTGTACAAATGGCAAACACAATTTCGGGACAAAATTTACCAGTCCTGAATCTTACTTATCACTTACACAAAACGTGAACTAACCAGTTTGACAAGTAAATGGTAAACAACCAATAATCTTTTCAACGCACTACCTAACATCACAGGGAGACAGCTCAAAGCACTGCCTACTAGATGGTTTTACTCACTATAATTCAGTTTCTACGAATTAAAAACAAAATACAGTTAGGATTTTTTTCTAGATAACTACCTCAGGAAGTTTCAAAAGATATGGCGTTATGCTCTCAGCAAAAAGAACTGTGCTTTCTCTTGGCAACAGAGAGGGTAAGTTATCAATGGCCACAAGGTCTAAAGGTTTGGTACAATTGCTGTAAGTAATAATAAATAGAACTTAGTGTTATGGTGATTTAAAATTGACAAAAGAACAACAACTACAGAGGGGGCACTTCGTTATTTTGACCTAGACGGATATGTACTGTTGAACTGGGTACAGTTTTCAGGGTATTGAATCTTAAACAGGGTATACAATTTCACTTTTCGGCATCTTTAAAGGGATGTGTTTTTGAATCCAAAGCCTTTAAAAGAGTTTTAAAAATGCTGCAGATCAGCGGTCTGATTTGTGGCACCAACAATTATAATTCCAAAAAATTTAGTTCCATGAAATTACCTAATTCTGTATGCAAAACGAAACGAGTCAGGGTCATAAAATAGGATCTCTTGTCTTAAACAGGGTAGCGAAATGAGCAATTTTTGTCTTCAACAGGGTCAGGTTTTAAAGGCATTGGTGGCACACCCCTACACAAACTTTCCTTGAGTGACCCCTCCCCGAACGGTTATCCAGAAAGTTTTAGCTTTTGACAGGCTTTAGAAATTTCTAGAAAATGTTTGCTCCTTCGAACAGTTATTTTACAGAAAAAAGTAGCTGTTGTACATACCGTCACTCTTCACAGAAAAAAAAAGACAAACAGATGCATGCTAACCTGAGCTGTAGCCGCCTGCTGGGATTTTGAAAAGTGGTAATGGAATCCAAGAATGGCAGAGGATTGTTTGGGTTGCTGACATCACAACTAACATCAACCACCACAGAGAGATTCCTGCAGAGAGAAATAGTGCAGTTTTAAAGGAAGATTTATTTTTGGTTTGTTTTTACATTCTTATTTCTTAATGTAGCAGGAGTGCTTACTTATATAAAATATAAGAAACTAATTGCAAAAATTCCTTTTCATAAGCTGCTATACATTTTCTTTTGTTTCATTTATTTTTAAATAAAGAAGAGATAGTTAACTTGTAGAGTACTGGTAGCTTCCAGGAGCCTTGCAACAACTAATTTATTAGCCTGGACAGAGTTATTCATGAGTTTTACTTAAGTTGAGCTTACATAAGATTGTAACTTCACCGTGCATTCATTGTGCAAATATAA